GCTGAGTCCAAAAGCCAGGCCGGGGCCAGGAATGATGGTTTCGGCTGAGACGCAATTCTGGGAAGAAAATGCTAAGCAGGTAAGTCCCCTTGAGCCTGAGTACATATTTACCTGTATCTGCTTCTGTTGGGCACTTGGCGACCTCGGGATCCTGGGCATCCGGATGCCACAGTTCGGCCTCTTCCTCCACCCAGGAGATGAGCGCTGGCTTGGTGCCTCCGCCTCCTGGGAAAAAAGAACGCAAACCCCGCGTTGTGGAGAGGCCACCCCACACTGTCCCGACTTCCCCGACCTGGGGCCTCCCACTCCGCGGGCAGAGTCCAGGGTACAGGGGGCATGTGGGCGCCGGCGGGCAGGCAGGGCTCTCACCGAGAGCGCTCAGGTGGAGGTAGGTCTCGCGCATCACGTCCCGGTACAGCGCCCTTTGCGACGGCCGCAGGCACCCCCACTCCTCCAGGGAGAAGTACACGGCCACGTCCGCGAAGCTCACGGCCCCGGGCTCCCCGCACTCGGTCCCGGCCCCATTCGGTTCCCGGGCCGGGACAGGAGCCAGAGGCGGCGCCATGGAAACTGCCAGCTCCGGCGACAGGCCAGCCACCTCCCCCTACCGAACCTGGCTCTGCCGAGCGTCCCGGGCTTAAGAACGCCTCCCCAGCCCGGGCTCAGGGTTCGGAGGGCCGGAATTAGGACCCAGACAGGGCAAGACCGGGCCTCTCCTGGGCCCACTGGAGTGGATGAGAACTGAGAGCGACGGATACATAATCAGAACCGGGAGATGCCTTCATAAAAATGGCGGCAACACGGCCTCTCGAACTTTGCTCCCACGCCGTCATGCCCACGGTGATGCCAGCCGGGTATTTCCCCGACGCTTTGTCTTCCAGCCCTCATCCAAAATGGCCGCGGCGGCTGCAAGTGCCAGTCCGAGAACCCTCCGCGCGCCCCTGGGCCGGGTGGGCTAGGACTCCGCGAGCGGAGGGCGGAGCTGCTGCCCTATCGGGGTTCAGGCCGGGTCCCTTGCGGAGAGTCGCTGCGGGCCCGAACTGATGATCGCTGTGCTTTTGGGGTTGGGAAGTTAGTTTGCTTTTCTGGGCCGTTCTTGTTGTGTTATTAGCTCAAAATTGTATGATAGCAGCCATTTCTCAATGTTGACAGTTAAAAATTAAAAAAAAAAAAAAAGATAAAAGAGAATCTTTTCTATTGGAAACTTGTTCAAGACTAAAATTCTGGGCACACTAGGTAATGGGGCCACTAGCGAGCCTAGCCTAGTGTCTCAGAAAGGACAGAAGAACCCTCTTGTGCAAGCTGATACTCCCCCCACCTTCCCCGCAGGACCCACCTTTACAGGTCGACTGCCTTCCTGGCTAGGCCTGGATGTCATTCAAGCACCTGGAATTCCACATGCCTCAAAATGATCTCTTAGAGAATGGGTATGGCTCAATGGTAGAGGGTTTGACGGTATGTGTGCCACTCTGGGTTCCATTGTTAAACCTTAATGTAAAGAAAAGATCACCCACTCCAATTTAAATCAAATTAAAGCAAGCTTGCAATTCCCATCAGCCCAGGCTGTCTCTCCCAAAACCCATGGGAATAGAAGACAGCCCTCCAGCTCTCTAGGATCGAAGTTTTATAGCACCAAAAAGTTGCAAAAGAGGAGTGTCTTGAGAACTTACAGATAATAGGATTTTGACAAGCATAATACAAAGGCAGATAATAATTTAATGGTCTAAATGGTTCAGCACTTAAGGAGTAAATTTAGATCCCAACATCAGAATTTATGAGGCCACTAGAGTTTCAGAGAGGGTGGTTATCTGGCCAGGGAAAGCCAGAATTTATGAGGCGCCACTAATGTTTCAGAGAGGGTTGTTATCTGGTCAGGGAAAGCCAGGCATGGGTGAGTTCAAGGCACAGGCAGGTATTCCAAGCAAGTTTAGAAATCGCAGTAATTTATAGTAAAGCCGAAATTAACTTTTCATGCCTTTGTGACAAGATGGCTCCCAATCTTAAGAGAGAATTAGACTGGGTTTATCAGCATCCCCAATACTGCAAAAAGCAAAAACAAAGTAAACTGACAAACTGAACTCACTTTCTTTCCCAAGCACACTCCCAACCTCAGGTCTTCTATTTAAACAAGTGTCACCATCTCTAACCCTAAAACTCCCTCTTGTTTATTTCTTAAAATATTTTTTGTAGTTGTAGATGGACAGAATGCCTTTATTTTAGTTATTTATTATGTGGTGCTGAGGATCAAACCCAGTGCCTCACATGTGCTAGACAAGTGCTCTGCCACTGAGCTACAGCCCCAGCCCTCCCTCTCATTTATTGACTGCCAGCTCTGCTCCCACATGCCTTCATACATACCCTGCCCTAGGGAGACTTGGTATTTTTCTCTGGGCAGGCTAAATCAATCACAGCATTTCAAGTGCTTCATGAGAAGACTTCATCTCTTCAACAAGTCTGCTGTGAAGCTTTCACCTGACACTTTGCTTAGTGGATGCTTTTCTCCACACCCAGGGTAGCTGGGCAAATAAAGAGTTGATCACAGCAGACGGAGGAGGAGACAAAAGAGCTTGGGCAGGGAAGACTGACTGAAGAGTGGGCTGGAAAGGGTGAGGGTGTAGAGTTGCTCCCAAGGGTCTACACCCCAGCCCTGGTTCTCCCAGTCTCTCAGGCCCCAGAAGGACACAGAGAACATTGAAAACTTCCCTTAAGAGCAATGGCATTTTGTCACCTCTCAGTGCCCACTCCCTGAGTGACTCATCACCCACAGGACTAGGAAGACTTATGGGGGGTCTGGACCCTTCTAGGGAAGAACCAGGAGCAGAGTTCTGGAGGTGAGCCCCTAAGGGCCATGGGACCACAACATTGGGTCCCCCAGTAAGCCTCTGACTGAAGTATGGCCCACTAAAGGAAGACATCAAAACACTGCTCCAATGTTACTCCCTGTGGTAGAAACAGGTGCTACAGGCAAAAGGTCACTCCATGCAGTACCAACTGGGCCAGACTGAACATTTTGGCAAATCATGACTACACTTGGGAACAGCCATGAGGTTGCTGGGTGAGTGCCAGGTGTTTGAAACCTGGCACAGATTGAGGGTTTGGGAAAGGTTTGAGATACAGAGCGCCTTGGCTAGAGCCTCAGAAACCACATCAGTGTCTCTTGAGCCCAAGGGCTCATGACAACTCCCAACTAGCTCCCTTGCTGGCCTCTTCTAAATGTATCTTTTTTTTTTTTCTGAGTGGCTACTCAGAAAGAAACAAAGTAGTTCTTTTTTAAACAAAGATTTTAAAAAAAAATCTATCTTCCATTCCACACCCTGCTCTGGGACCTCCCCAAGGGTTACTTACATTTAGGTAACAGCATCAAACTTCATAACAGCAGAAGGATTCAGATGGGTAGCTAGCCCCTGGGAGCCACCAGACCCCTGAACTATGCTGGGCAATTGAGGGGCTTACCAGGTAGGGCCAATCACACATTTTAGGATGGATCATAGGAGCAACTATTACAGTGCTTAGGGAAGTGGAGATGGAAAGGTGTAACACCTCCAACCTAAATTTGAATTCACACTCTTGCCACTGACCTCAAGTTTGAATGATTCATATAGTGTGGCCTGATCATGGTACCACTGGATGCCTCAAAGCCAATTACATGAAGGTCAAAATCTCAGGCTCTAATGTGTGTTAGAAATTCAGGTCAGCAGAAATTAGTAACACTGGCAGCAAAGAATATGTAGATGATGTTTCTTGCTCAACAGAACATCCTCTCTTCTAGCTGGAACCAGTACACTGTCCCTACTGGCTTTCAGGTTTCTGCCTTCCTATTGATCCTGAGTATCTGTGCCTCACAGCTGGGATTCTTCCTTCACCCAAGAGATGAAGGTGGTTTGGGGTCTAAGAATCCTGGGGAAAACACTCATTACTCAAGAAACCTATCCTAAGATTACCTGTGCATAGCGGAGCATGGTTGCACATGCTTATAATCCCAGCAACTCCAGAGGCTAAGGCAGGAATTCGAGGCCAGCTGGGGCAATTTAGCAAGGCCCTAAGCAACTTAGTGAGACCGGTTCAAAATAAAAAATAAAAAGGGCTGGGGATGTGACTCTGTGGTTAAACTCCCCTGGGTTCAATCCCTGGTACCACTCCACACCCGACCAAAACTACCTGTGTACTAATTGAATGAAAGTGGAGCATCTCTTCCATTCAGGACAGATGTTCTGCGTGTTGGAGTCACTGTTGAATCAAAATGAAGTTTCTGCTCTAAGTTTACAATAAGCTGAGGGAGAGAGACACCAGGTATGAGTTTCGCTGGCACAAGTTTCTAGAAGATCTTCTGGGCAGATTGTATAGAACTTCATGACTATACAAAAAAGACACAGAGCCATGGTTCTGAGTAGGGTTCTAGCATAGGGTAGAAGGGATTCATAAGACCCCACCACCACCACCAATATTGAACTGAGGGCGCTCTACCACTGAACTATATCCTCAGTCCTTTTTTTCATTTTTTGAAACAGGGCCTTGCTAAATTGCTGAGGCTAGCCTTGGACCTGAATGCTCTTGCCTCA